CTGCACTCCAGTCTGGGCGACAGAGTGAGACTCCAACTCAAAAAACAAAAAACAAAAAATAAAAAGACAAAAACAAACAAACAAAAAACTGTAAAGAGATGTGTAAATGTCAAAATACTGGCTGTTATTGCACAATTAACCCAATTTAATCCCCCCACTTTTTTGTTGGAGTTTCACTCTGTAGCCCAGGCTGGAGTGCAGTGGCATAATCACAGCTCACTGCCTTCCAAGTAGCTGGGATTACAGGCATGAGCCACCATGCCTGGGTAATTTTGGATTTTTTTGTAGAGACGAGGTCTTGCGATGTTGTCCAGACTGGTCTCAAATTTCTGGTTTTAAGCAACCCAAAGTGTTGGAATTATAGACATGAGCCACTGTGCCTGGCTGAAGTTCCCCACTCCCTTCTTTCTTTCTTTCTTTTAAAAAGAACTCCCCAATCCTTCTTTCTAGATATGGAAGTCCCTTGTAGAGCTTTTTGCTGGCTTCTCTAGAAACCAGTGGTCAAAGGTTTCTAAGTGAGGGGTAGGTACCTCAGAAGATGGGTAAGACAACCTACTAAGGCAAAGCAAAAAGTCCACTAAAATTTCTATTTACATGTTTTTGTATCTGCTTAAATTTGTATTTTTTAGCTACTTAAAAAATAATGTATCATATACTAACAGTGTTTAACATGTATACAATTTTAAGTAGATAAGTTCATAAATACAGAGGCATACTAACATTTTGCTTCTTGCCATCAGGGGAGTGGGATCTTAAAAATGTTTGGAGGTCGGGCGTGGTGGCTCAGCCTGTAATCTCAGCACTTTGGGAGGTCGAGGTGAGAGGACTGCCTGAGCCCAGGGGTTTGAGACCAGCCTGGGCAACTTGGTAAGACCTCATCTCTACAATAAATCACAAAAACTAGCCGGGTGTGGTGGTGTGCATCTGTAGTTCCAGCTGCTTGGAAGGCTGAGCTGGAAGGATAGCCGAAGCCCAGCAGGTTGAGGGTCGAGGCTGTGGTGACCATGAGCGTGCCACTGCACTCCAGCCTGGGTGACAAGAGTGAGACTCTAACTCAAAAAAAAAAAATGTTTGCAGATTGTTAGGGTCCAGTTTCTTCTAGGTTTCTATAGGTACTGTTCAGAGATCACTGGTCTAATCTATTCACTCTGTATTTTTTCCCCCTGGATATTAAATTAAATTAAATTAATTATTTAGAAAAAAAGTCTTGCTCTGTTACCCAGGCTGGAGTGCAGTGGCATGATCATAGCTCTGTCACCTTGAACTCCTGGGCTCAAGTGATCCTCCTCTTGCCTCAGCCTCCTGAGTAGTTGGGACTACCACTACGTGCCACCATACCAGACTAATTTTTTACTTTTTTTTTGAGTCAGAGTCTCACTCTGTTGCCCAGGCTGGAGTGTTCATGGCCATTGCAGCCTCAGCCTACTGGGCTCAGGTGATCCTTCTGTCTCAGCCTTCCAAGTAGCTGAACTACTGGCATGTGCCACCATGCCCTGCTAGTTTCTTTTGTTTTTTACTGTAGAGATGAGGTCTTGCCAAATTGCCTAGGCTGGTCTCAAACCCCTGGGCTCAGGCAATTCTCTTGCCTTGGCCTTCTGAAGTGCTGGGATTGCAGGCATGAGTCACCATGACTGGCATGTTTTTGTTTTTTTTTTTAAGACAGAAGTCCAGTGACATGATCTCGGCTCATTTCAGCCTCAACTTCTTGAACTCAAGTGATTCTTCCACCTCAGCCTCCTGAGTAGCTGAGACTGTAAGTATGCACCACCATGCCCATCTAATTTTGTGTGTGTGTAAGTTGAGTTCTCTCTATATTGCCCAGGCTGCTCTCAAACTCCTGGGCGCAAGTGATTTTCCTGCCTTGGCCTGCCAAAATGCTGAGATTACAGGCATGAGCCACCATGCCTGGCTGTCAGGCTAATTTTTAAAAGTTTTTTGTAGAGATGGAGTCTCACTATGTTGTCCATGCTTTTTCTGGATTTTTTTTTTTTTTTTGAGTTGGAGTCTCACTCAGTCACCCAGACTGGAGTGCGGTGGCC